ATTTCAGGCGATTAGAAACGGCAAACTCAATATTTTAGCCAGAAAAATATTGCATTTCGCTAATAGATGTCCAAATCTTTTTGCCATATATAAGTAAAATCATTAGGCCCTGCGTAATATTTTTCTGTGTAAAATATTGAGTTAGCCGTTTTTAAAAATAGACTCAAATCGAGCCGTTTAACATAACTAAGTGACAAATATTTTTTTTTCTCATAAAAAATATAATTAGCTATTACAGCAATACTAAAGAATTGTAAGAAATTTTTTTTGGTGTATTTCTAATAATATTCAATTATACAAGAATGAACGATCATATATTTCAATTATTCATTGCCTTCATAGCATATATTATAAAATAAAGTAAAATTTAATTTGATTTATGAAATAAGTCGCACACAAAAAACATTATCGGATTATTTTAAGAACAAGATTTTAACACGACCCTAGTCCTAAGCCCTGCTTGATTCTTAGTTTATTTAGAAAAAAAATGCGTTCCGAGAGGAACATTTTATTGAAAATTATTAGTAAAAACAAGGATCGAAATCTCTTTAAGCATGCTAAAATGTGGTCAAAGGTCATCAATCGGCATTAATTTATTTTTTTTAAAAAAAAGAGAAATCTCTAGAATTTTCGAATTTAATCTATAAACAGGTCTCCAGATAAATGAATCACATAGCCAACTTCGCAACAAAATCATTTTCCTTTCAATAATAGGCAACCTAATAAATAACGCTTGAATCTTTATAAATTATGTGATTATATGATCTGTCAATTTTTTAAAAAAGTGTCAATTTAAATTTCAATATATAAGTCAAAATAATTTGCATAAATAATAATTTAATCATTTTTTTATAAATAAAATATACTAAGAGCAAATATTAAAAGATTATGTAAAACTAAATAAATTTCAAAAATAATAAAAATAGAAATTTGATTGACATTTGAAAAATTAAAACCCAATTAATTCAAGAAATTTGTACCTTGCCCTAAAAGGGTTTTTGGAGATATTTAATCACCCCCCCCCCCATGCTCCTTATACTTTTAGCAGCCAAATTTTTTTATATTGTAAAATTTTACAAAAAAAATTATTTAGGCATAAAAAAAATATTGATGAAAAAAACATTTATCATTATTTAATTATTAATCTAATTTATTTATTTCATGTAAAATTATGCAAATTTGGATGACAAAAGGTATAAAGTAAAGTATCAATTATCCTTCTTATATTTTATAATAAACTAAATTTCATTTTTATAAGTAATAGTAAAAAATATAACCATTTTATAAGAAGGTAAATATCTGTGTTCCCTTAAATCTTTCTTTCCATGTTGGAATGTTCAGAAACTTATTTAATTTAGAAAATTTGAGAAGTAAGGATAATAGGCTATGGCCCGGTTCGACTTATTATTTATGCTTGGCTAAACAGCTGAACTGGGATACCCTATCTTGGTTTGTTTTAAGTATTTGGCGGTTTGGTTAATTTTTGTATCTTTTTCTTTTACCTTTTAGGCTATTTGGTCGAATAGCAGACCTGTATAGTTAAGTCGAAACACGATATACTTTTAAGGCATAATAGATCTAATGTAATGTCTCAAGTATTCTGAAGGTTCGGCATCATAAAATAATTTAAAGGTTATGAAAAATTGAACACTTCAAGATTTTAAAAAACATTTTAATTCCTTTATTATGAGATTTAAAAAACATTTTAACTCCTATTTTTATTATGAGATTTAAAATATAACATTTGCATTCCATTAAAAAAAAGATAAATCTTTTCTTATGCCTTTGATAAAATTCCAATGAATGGTATTATATATTTTTTTTAAATAATTGGGTATAGAAAACCTAATAGAATTATAATCTGCAATCTGTTATTATCGCATCGGATGATGAAGAATAGGGATTAGAAGGGAAACTGGTCTGCCCAAATAAACCTAAAAAATGGGCCACTAAACGACGATGGTGGGCATAATATAATTATAATAAATATTTTCTTAATATTTATATGTTGATGAGATCTTCAAAGCCCGGCTAGCGGGAAGGACCAATCTAATTTTAAAAAAAATTACAACGGGCCGACAAGCCTGCACATAAAATTTCCAGGCCAGGTTATTTGATAAAATATCAGTTATAGCCTAGGAAAATCTCTAATTTCAAGTTAAATTTTAATAGGCCAGCCTGGGCTTTAAAATTTGAAAACACGCTATTGTGTGATGGTCGGAAAATTCGAACAAAAAAAATATAATGGACCAAGTCGGACTTTTCCGAAAATTCTAACTAGTCGAGCCGGTTGTGAGAAAAATTTGGACGAGGTACTTGTGCAAAAATTCTTAGCGGACCGAAATGGGTTTATAGATTTTTTATTAGATTACCCCTCCATTCCTAGCGTGAAATCGCAGTGATTTATAAAAATTACGATGTATTTTTGTATTCTTGGCTGCGAATTCGCACTAATGCGTTATACCTATCAGTTCGACGCGCCATGTTATCTCAAATATTTTCGCCTTCCGTTCTTACTTTCTTCTTAATGCATGATAATTTAGGAACATAATGATCATAAAGCTTGCAGGTTCGGTTCTAGTAATTATTTATTTTCTGCTTTCATATTTTCGAATTCTTAGGCCTAGATTATTCAAAATAACGAAATTTAAAAAAAAATCCGGGCTGAGCCGTAAAATAAACGAAAATAAAACACGGGCCGGGTCAAAAATTTTGACCAGAAAAATTAGTTAAGAATTGCTTTAAAGATTTTTTTATAAGAATTTAATTTTTTTTAAAAAAAATTCGTTTAAATGGAAAATTTTGTGCTTCCAGCGCTTAATATATCATTATGATGTAATATATAAAAAAAATTTAAAAATGATATTTAAAAAAAAAGACCTTGTCAGGATTTGTGTTAAAGTCCTCGAGGTCGACCTGAATTCGCGATCGGACCTTTTCGGGCGAAAAAAAAATTCAATTTTCAGGGCCTCCAGTTTGGGGACCGTTTTCGTTAGTTTTATAAATCATATAAAATAATAAGGGATAAACTAATAAATATTTTGGCATAAAACTTTACTCTTAAGCAGTAACTTTAGCATAAGGTAAAAAATAAATCGAGGGGAAATATTAAATAGTCAAAAGTGATTTATTTTGGCTTTCTAAAGTTGGATCCAGGGTGACGGACCAAACTGAAACAATAAAATATCTAATTCATTTGGTTATTAATTTTGATAAAAATAATATTTTATTTCATTAATTCGTTCTTAATTCAATTTATTTTTTAAAAATAAATATTACAAATTTATTATTATCCTAATTCTTGTCGTGCTTTCCAAAAGTATTTGCTCTTATTATACCAAATTTAGATTACTATTTGAATTCAAGGATGGGGCTTATTTTACTACCTTTTTTTAAATATTATATCGGCATTATTTTATTCCTTATTATATAGTACGCTTCCATAAGGCGTTTTTCCGCGTTTTTAGGTGGTGTTAAATGGCATGATTTGAGACGATATTTAAAAGCGGCTAATATTTTACCCCAAAGATATAATTTTGCTAATAGATGTCCAAACCTTTGTTACCATCTATTTCAATTTTTTTTAGCAAAAATATTGAGTTAGCCGTTTTTAAAAACCGGCTCAAGTCGAAAGGTTTAACAAAACTATGCATTTTTATTTCTAATGTATTTCAAATGTTTATATTAATATTAATATAAAAAAACTAAAAATAGTTTATTACTTTGAAAGCACTAGTTATTATATTTTTCATAATGAATAATCCTCAGAATTCCAATCTGAACTCTATTTTTTGCGTTATTTATGATAGCTAAAGTATTGATGCGACATCTAAAGAAATTTGGAAATCATAAATTTTAGCGATTGAAACTATTAAGATGTCTATTTAAAAGTTAGTAGTAATAGTGAATTTTATTCGAATTTAAATATACCGCCAGAATAAAGAGAAAATTTTTTATACTCTTATTGGTTCAACTAGTGTAGTTAAACGGTTGTTTTGAGCCGATTTTTAAAAATGGCTAACTCAATATTTTAGCTAGAAAAATATTGCCTAAACCTCGAATTTTCGCTAATAGTTGTCCAAACCTTTGTTCCTTCCACAAACAAAATCTTCAGGCTTGGCTTGTGAAATATAATTCTAGATGAAATATTGAGTCAGCCGTTTTTTAAAATCGACTCAAAACGAGCCGTTTAACAACACTAGGTTAAACAATTTATCTCTTTTAAAAACCAACGTCCAATAGAAAAAGAGGATGGGTTCTGAAATTCCTTCAATTGAGGATACATCAAATTTATTTCTTTTTTTTAAAAAAAAACCGAAACAAACTAGTTATGCTTTATCGATATTATATTTTTATAAATATAAAATAAATAACTGTTTCTAAAAATTTTAAAAAAATATATTGTGGGAGAAATTTTAAACGTGTGAGATTCGCGGTAAATGTGTGCGCGTGTTGGCAAATTGCGGGAAGTCTCCCGCTGAAGGGGCGATTGGGAGCACATCATTCAAAATTACAATACGTAAACGCCTCAATCTCAGTCTTTATTAGAGGGTCAATTTAATAAAACCAATATTCGAAAATAACCAGACGTTTAAAAATTTTCAAACTAAAAACTGGAACGTAATTTTGACACCCTAAAAAAAGAAATGAATCATAAATATATAACATGATATAATAATAATAAATCTATTATTTGCAAAGCTGGTTTTTATCTTATTCAGAATTTGGATTTCGAAAAAATAATTAAGCGGCCATTTTGCGAAAGTTTTCTTTATGTTACCCTAAATAAATAGTGGTTTAAAGATTATTGCATCATGTTTTTTTTTTATTTGTATTGAAAAAAGCCATAAAATATAAATCTCATCATAATTGTGTCAATTTTATTTCGTGTTTGTTTATATAATCAGATTATAAAAATAGAAGATATAATTTATGTACCACTCCATTTTCTAATACGTAAAAAAGAGGAACGTGAAAATTTATGAATAAAATGTATTTACCTAAAATGAGGAATTCCTATGGAGAAGATTAATGGAATGAAGGATGAATAAATTTTATTTCTTTATTTTCCCGGTAATTTACACGATCAAATTTTTTCCTTTTTTTTTTACTCGTTCCTCTGTGACAAATCGGTATATTTTTTTCCTTTTAAAATAAATTATTTATGAACTCTATCTTTTTAAAATAATAAATATTTTTTAAACATTTTTTTTATGAATTTTCTAAATCCCAAAAATATAGGTAGATAAATTATAAAAATAATTATTAATTTTTTTTAAAAAAAAAATAGAATAAATATTAAATTTCCGCCGTTGTTTATTTTTTATTATTTATTTTTTATTATTTCTTTTTTTTTTCAAAAAAAAGGAGCATTTTATTTATTTATTTATTTTATTTATCTTTCTCTCTCATCTTTTTATTGTAAATGGTTGCTAAAATATTGTAAAACCTCAATAAAAATGACCACTCAAAGTTGAATCCTTTTTTTGGTCAAGTTATAGGGAGATGTAGCCGATATTATATCTACAAAAATATGAATATTTAAAAAATTATTAGAAATTTTTTTTATATTTTTAAAAAGTGCTTGAATTTTGATGGGAAAAAATTTAATAGAGGTCAAGCTCTAGTGGAAGCAGGTGATTAGTAATATTTTTTTTACTTCTCTCGATGATGTGAAATTATCGCAGAAATTTAAAATTTATTAATTTAGGTTTAAGGTGATAGTTCCATTATATTTAAAAAAAAACCTGACCAGTGTTTGACATTTTTTTAGGTCCAAACCAGTAGTGAAAAATTTTTATTTATTTTCCCCAATGAATCGAGTCCATTACTAAAATTTGTTCTAGAAAGTGTTAAAAAAAAGGTAACGGATTCTCATTATCATAATTTTTCAAAAAAAAAAATAAGCGAATTTTAGTAACTTAAAATTTTATGGGTACAAGTTATATTTTAGAAAAGTTACATTTAAAATACTTGCATCTAATTAGTTAAAGTTATATATTTTTCCTATACTAGTCACGTATGCAGCGCGTAGACAGGGGGAGGTTGCTAAGCCCTTCCCCCTCCTTCAAAATAAAGGGAAAGATGTGCACATCGTTATAATGATGGAATTAGAATCATGATTTGTTTTTTCCCGTTTGACAATGCCCGTATAAGCGATCCGCATGATAATTGCCAATTTAACTATCATTTTACTTTTGGCTTTTGTGAGTGTTAAAAACAAACATAAATCCCAAAACAATGGCATTGCTAACATTTCCAATCTTGTTACAAAATAACTTTACTTCTAAAAAGTAACTCGTTACTCGTTACCTTGTGGAAAAGGGAAAGTGTTATTCGATATTCAAAAAAGAATAATAACGCTTTACTCGTCACATAAAAATACTAAATATTATATATATTTTTTTCTCTTTTATTTATTTATTTTTTTCCTTTAGATTATACAAAAATTGTATAATTATAAGATAAAATCTTTTGAGAATTTTTAATAACAATTAATTCTCAAAATTTTGATTAAAATAAACAAGAGAGCTTAGTACTCGAGTGTTATGTGCTAGGCACATCATTAACTGGCGCAGAGGAAATTTTTTTAAAATCTTGATTAGAATTTAATCTGAATTAATATTTTTACCTTCTTATGTTTTTTTTTAAAGATTTGAGCTGTTAGACATCGCAGTTGAAATATTTTATTATGAAAAATTTATACTGAGTGCCCTTCCTTAGTGGTATCGATTGATTGGGTACCAATGTTAACGTGATTAACTTTTTAAAACTTGAGCATTAGAACCTTAAATTTGGTGTGAAGATGTATTTTTAATATCTAATTTCTTAGTTATGTTCATCATAATGATAAACTTTGTTGGTTTGACATATTTTCCCCAAAAAACCGTTTTTACCCGTAAATTATAAAAATAACTTTCTTGTGTTTTTTTTTGCTTTTAATACAAAATATATTTTGTTCACATACATATTCCTTAAAGAAGTTTATAGTTTGACTTGAAGTTACACAATAACGATTTTTATAATAATAATATATAACCTTGGGGTAAAGTTGTTATAGGTAAAACGGTTAAAATATTTCATATGATTAAAGCATTAACGTCTTTACCATATAAAAATATATTTTGAAGCAAAAGGGAACATTAATAAATAGTTTGTGTTATTTGGAACCTATATTTCGTTGAAAAATAGGCGCATAGGGGAAGAATAATTGAAATGTACGATCTGACTAATGGGCACAATCAAAATGACTATTTTGATATTTAAAAAAATTGGATTCCCATAGTGTATCGTTTATATTACTTAAAAGTGATCAAGATGTCAATTGCTTGTTTAATACAATAAAGTTATGTTCAATTTTATTTTGACTTTACACTGATGATTAGACCATTTACCCTGGGATGGGGTAAAAGGGCGAAAATGGCATACTTCGCATAATTAATTAAAGCCTCTTAAGTATTATAGCTAGAGAGCTACACTTTTTTATAATTCGTAGCTGAGGGATACTGGCTCCATATAAATCAATAATTTCGAAATTTTATGGTAAAAATGCAAAATACCGATCTCATGTTCTGAGGTCATTGCACAGTGAAATTACCTTTGTCTAAAGAAATAAGTACACTATTGATATAATAATGTATATAGAATAAATTATACATTATAAATTGATTCAATATTAATTATATTAACAATCTTATAAAAAAGTGATGAATACGTTTAAAAATAAATGAAGAACTTTGATAGTTGATTTGAATTATAAACTCAGATTAAATTATTTATAAATTGTGTAAAAAATATAAATTTAAAGTAACGAGTAACGACTTGCGTTACATTACAGTTATTCGAAGAAAAAAGAAACGCGTTACTCGTTACCTTTTGAAACAAGTAACATATGGTGATCCTTTTCCTCGTAGAAGAGCCCTTTAGTAACGACGTGACATACGTTACTATTCATCGACGCGTTAAATAACAGCATTGAAAAAACAGGGTTAATCTTTCTAAAATAAACATAAAAAAAATTATATCTTAAAATTGACAAAAAATAAGGGTAATTTTATCAAAATTTTCCGAAAAAAAAAACGATAACTAATAAAAAAAAAATTAAAAAATTTTTCAGGAGGGGGATGTAGCTCTTGCCTCTCTGCACCCCCTAATAATGCTAGCACAAATTCTTTCTATGATCTTATCTAGCACGTTGGTCATAGACCTGCCCTAAGTGAGACGATTCTCACAATAAAAATAAACCGCAAATAAGCTTGGACACAAAAAGGCGACATACATTATTCAATCTGTATGTAAGAGAAAAAAAAGGTGAGTTTTGAGTTTGGAAATATTGATTTTATTTTCGAAATTTTTGATTTATAAATAAATCATATTTATATGAATATAAATGCGGCGAGGTTGATATCTGTCAAAAGATGAAATATGACAATGATGTCGGAAAAATTGTTTATTTTTTTTTAAAAACAACTAAACTTTTTTCGATGTCACGATAGTTCAAATGAAACAAAAACAAAAAAAGTAAAATAAATAAATGAATAAATAATAGTAAATCAATTAATCATTGCACGGATCAATCGTCAAACAGAAACTTCTCAGGTTCGGTCAGACCGGATCTCAAATTTAGAATTTTTATCCGGACCGGATTAGAATATCAAAAAAAAAATTTATAATTTTTCTCTAACCTCCTCATATAATTTTTTCCGCTTTCCTTGAAAAACATTTTTTTTTTAAATATCAATCCCATTTATCGGATCGGGGGCCTAGATCCTTGGAAAAACTCTAAAATCAGCTGATGCCGAAATATTTCCATATTATGCATGATCACGAATGTTTTGAGTATTAGATCATATATTGAAATTGTTTTGGTTATGTTACATTTTTAAAAAAAATTTATTTGGGTTTTTCATTTTTTTTAAATATATAAGTATATTTTTCTATATAAAATTTGTATTATGGTTATTATTGTTTTTTTTAAAAAAAAAGATTGCTTATAGCGATATATTCTATACATGGGGAAGGGGGGGGGCTTCAAATGATACTTACAAATCCAGATAAATTTCCTAAGGGGAGATTTTCCCCTTATCCCCTTACTAGTTATTATACCTACTCTGGTTCGTCAAAATTACAATTATCAGGGTATACTTCAAGATATATTTTAGCGGAATGGGAAATTCGGAGAAGATATTTTAAGAATGTTATAATATTGTATATTATAAAATATATGATACTTTATTGATCTCTCTGTTGTATTAAATGAAGCAGTATTCATTTTAATATTAATTTTGAAATGTTTTAATCTTCTTATAACTTAAATTTTGTTTTTAAAAATAAATGGGATATATAATAACGAAACGACTATTAAAATTCTAATTCTCGAAATGAATAATAAAAAAAATTAAATATGTTTAAACGACATTTAATAATATTTTAAAAAAGAGTAAACACTTTAACTATGATTCTGGTATGAGTGGATGGGGGGAGGGGAATGGGCGTGGCATTATTGGGTGGGTTGTTTCCTTCATAAATTTTATTGAAAGAAGTGCCACAACTAAATTATTATGTAAGAGTAACATCTACCATATAATTTAGACGAGAAATTGAAAGCAGTCTCAGCTGCTAACCTGCAGGTGGCGGTGGAGTCGCGTCTAAAAGAAGTTCGCCTTAAAATACTAGGTTATAGAAGCTGACGCCTCATATGGGCGAATTTTTTTTTTTTAATAAATCTATTCAAAGAAAGGGTATTAACCCTTTCAGGTGACTCCAGAAATTTTCTAAACATAGTTATCAGAACAGAGTTAAATTAAATATAATTTTTTTTGGCTGATAAAATTTTTCTTGTCTCCAACAGTGTTTGAGAAAATCAGAGTTGTTAAGGAGCGCCGCTACACTTTTTCAAAATCAGGAGCGGTGCTCCTGTTGAGCGCCTGTTTCATGGATGTTTGTTTGATTCAAATTTAAGAAATTTATTACTTTTAAAAGCTAATAAATGATTATAAATTTAATATGAATAAAAAATTTTTGATGACAAAAAATATGATTTTGTTTCGTGTATACTTTCTACAAAAAAAATGAAAGACACTCCATTACTTGGAGCGGGAGCTAGCTCCCTTTAAAAATTTGATAGCAGGATCTAGCAAATTTTGAGAAAGTAGGAGCACTACCTTCTTCTTCCCTACCATGAGTGTTAATCATCCTACAAATTAAAAAATGTTACATAAAATTGTGTTATT